CCTCTAAAAGGATGCAAATGAGCAGCTGTCTGCAAGGAATATAAATCCTTCCATTCCCCACTATCCGGTCAGAGCTAAAGAAGCTTCTTGGATAAGAAGTGAAACCTCTTCAAAAGAAAAAACAAGAAAGCCCAGTTGCCTCCTGGAAAAAAAAAAACGCCTTTGGAACAACTACGACCTGGAATGACTGAGAATCTCTGCAGACTTTTAGCTATATGATTTGGGATGGACACCCTTGGAACGGTGTGGGAAGCAGGAATGGATTTCCAGAGGAAACAATGGCAAACTACAAGAACCTTTTGCACCGCTCAAGGTGACCCTGTGGACACAGATAAACCTCCACGTGGCCTCAATGACCCTGTAAAAGGATGCAAATGACCAGCTGGCTGCAAAGGAATATCAATCCTTCCATTCCCCACCATCTGGTCCAAGCTGAAAAAGCTTCTTAGAGGAGAAGCGAAACGTCTTCAAAAGAAAAGGAAAAAAAAAAACAAGAAAGTCCAGGTTGCCTCTTGAAGTCTTAAAGTTGCCAAATTTGGAGACCCCTGCGCCGAGAGAAGAGAACTCAAGAAGGAGGAAACGCCATAACTCCATATAATTTTTTCCTCTGTTTTGAGAATCAAGCTCAATCTAAGATGTATAATTCCACCCCGCTTCTCTTCAAAAAAAAAAATCTGGACATTCTCAGAAGACTGTTATTCTTTGGTTTGCCTTGCAGCCTCTAGAGCTGGTCTTGTGATTTTGGAATCTGGACTGTTTTTACCCATCGATGAATGAGCCTTTTCTTATCATTCTCTGTCTTTTCAAAAGCATTCTTACCAAAATAAATAAAATAAATAAATAAAACCTTCAATTAGCTTTCTCTTCAGCCCCAAACAACCATCTATTTATTTGAAGGCTGGAGATGGAATGAAATGGTTCCCGGCCATGTGAGATTTTATAAGAAACAACCAAGTTTGGAGAGACCTCCAGAATGCCCGTTGTTTGCTTCTTCTTCTTCTTCTTTTTCCCTTCTAAAAGCCTTTTTAAAAATAAATAAATTAAAAACTGGTTTTAGGTGGCAAGTGGCCAAATCCAACATAGACAAGGGTTGGTGTCTGGGCTTTTACCTCTTGGCTCAAGCAGTTTGGTGAAGGGCCCTGTGCGAGCTTAAGGATCTTAGGAGTCTCCTTATTCTTCTGCTTGTGGTCGTGTTGGAGAGAAAGGAGTTGGGTCTGGTTTTTGGGAAGGGTTCGGTGAAACTTCTTCCCCTGAGCTGCTTCGTCTGCTTTTCTCTAGAACGGGAAAGAAACAAGAATGGCCTTGTAATCAAAAGAAGAACCCTTGCGAGATCAGTGGAGTTGGTTTAGGACTCAACAAGGTCCTTTTTTTTCTTGAGAATCAACAACAGCAGAGGCCATCTTAGATATCTGAAATCAGAGGTGACACTGTGGAATGTGAGAGGGATCCTGGAATCTTAGTGGACAACCAGCTAAATAGGAGCCAGCTGTGTGCAGCGGCAGCCCAAAAAGCCAATGCAATCCTAAGTTGCATTAACAGAGGGATACAATCCAGGGAGGTACTAATACCACTCTATCAAGCCTTAGTAAGGCCAAAGCTAGAGTACTGCATCCAGTTTTGTTCACCACACTATAAAAAAGATGTTGAGACTCTAGAAAGGGTGCAGAGAAGAGCAATCAAGATGACTAGGGGACTGGAGGCTAAAACATACGATGAATGGTTGCAGGAACTGGGCCTGGCTAGTCTAGGGAAGAGAAGGACCAGGGGAGACCGGATAGCAGAGCCCCAATATTTGAGGGGCTGCCCCAGAGAGGAGGAAGGGGTCAAGCTATTTTCCAAAGCACCCGAAATCCAGACAAGGAATAATGGATGGAAACTGATCAAGGAAGAGATTTAACCTGGAAATAAAGGAGAAACTTTCTGACAGTGAGAACAATCAACCCATGGAACAGAAGTTGCCTTCAGAAGTGGTGGGAGCTTCATCCCTGGAGGCTTTCAAGAAGAGACTAGACTGCCATCAGTCAGAAATGGTGTAGGGTCTCCTGCTCGGGCAGGGGGGAGGGGGGGAGGGGGAGGGGTTGGACTGGATGACCTATGAGATCCCTTCCAACTCTGTAAATCTGTAAAAAATTGGTCTAAGGTCCAATTCTATTCTGATTTCATGCAAAAAAAACCCCCCAAAGACGCCTCCTCTGTCCAACTACAACCACACCTGTTGCATTCCTGCATGTTGGACCGCCTCCCCTTTGCACCACGCCTCCTCCGGCTTGTCCTGGCTGCTTTTATCCTTCGGCAGGTTGCCTGCGGCCACTTTGCTCTCTGGGTATCTCCTTTCCAGGTCCAGATGTTTCCGAAGCTCTTCTTTTTTCTGATGCTGAAGACAGAATGCCAAGAAATGACATTGCTTTCATTTCATCTTTTTTTTTTTTCCGGGGCATCTCATGCAAGGAGTAAATTATTCATTCGTAGGTCACGTCGTTGCAACTTGGTTCTGACACTAGCGGGTTCTAAGCACGGTCGAAAGCATCAACCTCCCCAAGAAATGCTTTTATTCCTCCTCCCTCTTAGTGCGTTTGGCTACCATTCAGCCGACAAATAAATGGATATGAAATTGTCCTGAGCAAGCTCCCAAATGAAGAAATATATATAACAAGGGCGCAGCGCAGTTTTTCCTGACGTTATATATCTACTAGCTCAATATTCTTGCTTCGCTACGAAACTATATGGTTGGGCTTAGTTTTTGGAGAGGAAAATAAGGGGGAAAAATTCTCCCTACCAGCATCCATCGGTATTTATCTGGCTAGCATCCTGTCAGTGTGTTGAGGGCTGTTTGGAAACTGAAAGAATATTTGCTGTGTGAGCAAGAAGGAGACAGTCTGTCTGTCTGTCTCTCTGTCTGTCTCCCTACCTACCTACCTACCTACCTGCTGTTGTATATCTCTATATCTGCCTGTCTGTCTGTCTGTCTATCTATCTATCTATCTATCTATCTATCTATCTATCTATCTATCTATCTATCTATCATCTATCTATCTATCTATCTATCATATCTAACTGTGCCAATCAGATAAAGTCAAAGCAGATAAAAATCTGCAAAACTCTTGGATCCTACCATGGGTAATTCCATGCTTCTTCTTCTTTTTATTTTTAAGAGTGGGCACTGTGGAGTTTTTTCTTTAGTTGCTTCCCAACTGATCACTGCAGGACTACCTCTGCCTTGGCAAAGCAGTCTAAAGAAGTCCAAAGGGCTCTTTTCATCTACAAGAGCAGATGTTCCGGCATCTAAGAAGGAGGGCAAGACGTGGCCTTCCAGATTCTTCAAAAGAGATCATGAAAGGCCAAGATACTTTTGTGTTTTTATACTTTCAAGTCCATGTTGACTCCTGGACAAGTCCCTGCGGATTTCTTGGCAGGCTTTCTTCAGACATGGTTTGCTGTTGCCTCCTTGCTACAGCTGAGAGGGAGGCTCTGGCCCAAGGTCACTCAGCTTCCTTTCTGCTCAAGGTACAACTGGGATAGTGGTGCGATTCAAGAGGTTTTACCATCGGTTCAGTTGGCATGGCTTGGTGGTCATGCTTTGCACACATGCACCAAAAGCACACTACTCGACTCGACTCGACTTTACTCGACTCGACTTTACTCGACTCTACTCTACTCTACTCGACTTTACTCGACTCTACTCGACTCGACTCAACTCTACTCAACTCGACTCAACTCGACTTGACTCGACTCTACTCGACTTTACTCTACTCAACTCGACTCTACTCGATTCGACTCGACTCGACTCAACTCTACCCAACTACTCGACTCTATTCTACTCAACTTGACTCAACTCGACTCGATTCGACTCAACTCAACTCTATCTCTATCTCTATCCTATCCTATCCTATCCTATCCTATCCTATCCTATCCTATCCTATTTCTATTCTATGAAAAGAAAACAAGCAAGGCAACAGGATGAGGCCAGCCAAAGATAATGGAACCCAATCCCAACACACTCCCCCCCCCCTCAAAAAATCAAATCCAATTCCTACATCTTCCAACTTCTTCCTCTGCAGTTTTTGCTCCACGATGCGCTTCTGCCTCTCTTCCAAAAGCTGCCTTTTGTAGTTTTCCTGGTGTTTCTGTTGCTGGTGTTGCAGGGATTGGAGGCAGGGGGGGTCTGAATGGGATTTGTTCTCTTGCTGAAGTCGAAGGAACTCTCGGCGCAGGGTGGATTCCCCCGGGAGATTCACGATGGAGCTTAATTGAAAAACACACATGGGTGCAAAATGAGAGAGAGGGAGGGAGGAAAAGAACAGAAGAAGAGAAAGAGAGAGAGAGGAAAAGAGAAAGAGAGGAAGAGAGAGAGAGAAAAACAAAAGAAAAAAGGGGGGGGAGTGAAATATAGGGAAAAAAAGTGTGAGAGAGAAAAAGACAGAAAAAATGGGAAGGAAGGAGGGAAGCAATGAAGAAAGAAAGGAAGGAAGCAATGAATGAAGGAAGGAAGCAATAAAAAACAAGGAAGGATGGAAGGAAGGAAGGAAGGAAGGAAGGAAGGAAGGAAGGAAGGAAGGAAGGAAGGAAGGAAGGAAGGAAGGAAGGAAGGAAGGATGGAAGGAAGGAAGGAAGGATGGACAATTTTTTGGACTAATTTTAGTATTAAGATAGTCCAGCAAACGCCAAAAAAACTCAGCAGCATTAGAACATGCCAAAAAAGAAAAAAGAAAGAAAGAAGTAAAACCCTCTGCAGAATCTTTCTGGTTCAGCTCCCAGACCGGCCTCTGTTTTAGCAACTTTTCCAAATCCCAGCTAAAGCTGATTATCTGTTCGCTAGAGACCTCCCTTCACCGCTGCCTTCCCCAAACCCATTTTAGCATCTGTTCACACTTTGCATTCAACAGCAAAACACTGGAAGTGGAACAAAAGAAGGATTCAGCTATCTATATTTTTTTTTTGAATTGGTATGGAAACCCATCTGCTGGGGTTCTGGGTGGTTGGGAGGTGGTGGTAGTGTGGAGGAGAGGATATAAAGGCCCTAGGAAAAATAATGGAGCTCTAGTGAAGCCGAATTTCCTTTAAAAAAAAAAAAAAAAACCCTCTCAGTGGTTGGGGGAGAATGAGCCATGCACAATTTTTATTTTGCTTTGTTTAAAAGAAAAAAGAAAAATATGAACAACGCTTGGAATTTGTGGCTCCCTTATTAACCAGCTCGTTCCTTCCCTTTTCCATCCAACCCACACAGACAGATGTTTATTTTCCCACCTTTTCTTGCAAAACACAATTCGGAGCTAGGGTTCTCTGATCGACCCAGACTGTTTTTCCTGTCACCTTAACTACTGTTTTTTTTTTTTTTTTGCAAACCAGATCTTAGAAAAAAACATCGCTCCTCTGAAGATTTCAACCCAGGAAAGCATCGTCTAATAACTGTGAAGGTAACAGGCTAACCAGTGGTGGGATTCAAATAATTTAAACAACTAGTTCTCTGGCCTCATGATTTCTTCCAACAACTAGTTCAACAAGCTGCTCAGAAAGTTCACAACTGGTTCTCCTCAACCGGAGTGAACCGGCTTTTTAGTTGACACCCACCACTGAGGCTAACTTAGAAGACACCTGCCCCGTGGCCTCTATAGCAGGAATGTCCAACCGTGGCGACTTTAAGACCTGTGGACTTCAATGGGCTGGGGAGATGTTGGTCTCTTAGCAGACCATCACAGAACTGTTCCAATTTGACCTGCAAAGGCAAAACCAAACCTTGGTTCTCCTTCGTCTTCGTTCAACTCGTCCCCTTCTTCCTCGCTTCCGCTGTACTCATATTCTGTTTCATCTATTAAAAAAAGAGAAGGATGGGAGGCAAAGTCATACAAAACAAGCGTTATTGTTCCAGGCAGGGTACAGAAAATCTGTTCCATATATTAGTGTGTGTGTGAGAGAGAGAGGGGGGGGGGGAGGAAGGGAAGAAGGGAGAGAGAGGGAGAGAGAGAGAGACAGAAACAGAGACAGACAGAGATGGGACATAGAGGAATGGAGCTATCAGATTGCTTTATCTATCTGTCTATCTCTTTTTGTATATATCTCTCCCATCTATCTTCCTCTATCTACCTATCATCTCTATCTACCTATCATCTCTCTTACCTTCCTACCTATCTATCTATCTTCCTCTAAATCTAGCTATTGTCTATATCTATCATCTATCTGTCTTCCATCTCTCTCTCCTTGATTCCTCTATCTCTTTCTATCTGTCTGTCTGTCTGTCTATCTACTTACCTTCCTACCTACCTATCTGTATCTATCATCTGTCTTCCATCTCTCTCTCTCTCTCTCTCTCTCTCTCTCTCTCTCTCTCTATCTCATGCATCTTAAAGGTTGCCATTTGAGGAATTCTGGGAATTGAAGCCAACTCATCTTGAAAAATGCCAGCTGGACATCTTGGGAGTTGAGTCCACATAAAGATTTACCAAAGGGATCTCCAAGAAAAGATGAAAAAGTCATTTCAACTGAGGCCTTGTGTTCAAAATCCCCCCCCCTCTTTATGCCCATTGCAAGCAGGCAACAAAGAGGTAGAGTTTGGGTCATGGTCAACGTCTTTGACCCTTCCTCTACTCCCAATCTCCAACATGCTTTCCTTTGCCATTACGTGAGGTACAAACTGATTTTCAGGCTTTACTCTCTTCCATACAAACAACTCTTCAAAATCAATAGTGGCAAGAATATAGAAATCACCTTTTTCTCCCTTTTTCTTCCTGGTCCTGTCTAGATGGTCTTTTAGCAAGATGCGTACTTGGCGTTCATTTTGCATGTCCCTGATGAAGGAATGTTTGAGCAGAGTCTCAGTCACGGGGCGATGCATGTAATTTTTAACCAAGCAACTGTCGACAAAGTTGAGAAACTTTTTTGACCTAAAAAACAAAACAAAAATCAAAATAAATCAAGAAAAATGACACAAACAATCTCATTTTATGGAGAACTTTGGCCATCTTTTTTTCTTCTAAGATGCCAGCAAAATATTTGGTTCTTTTCCATGTCCTACTAAGCCAAGATTTTGCTTTTGTGGTGCCTTGTTAAACTAGGCAGAATCAGTCTTATGGATGAGCAAATTAATCATGGTTTGTTTACTTTGACTTTCTTCCTCTTTGGAGGCAGTATCTCTAGCTTTTTAGCTGTGTGGTCCTTGATGATCTCTGAGCTTAGTAGTTTTCTTGCAGATGTTTCATTACCCAGCTAGATAACATTATCAGTGCTACCAAGAGGAAAATATAATTTCCACCAATACTGACAGGGAAAGCCAGTCAGATATATAGATATATAAATAGAGAGCAAACTCCACTCCCTTCTAACACTGATGATGTTCCCTAGCCGGGTGATGAAACGTCTGCAAGAAAACAACCACACTCAAGAGAGTACTTGGACTTCAATCTGAAGGACATGATGAGATGGCAACTGTTTACGATCCGTAAAGACCTTCCACCCTAACAAGAGACCACTACACATTCATGATAAATAAAACCGACGCTTTACCATTTCCTGGACTTCAGTTTCGGAGAAGGGTTCCGTGGAATCAGAAAGAGAGCTCTCATTGGATGCATGTCGCACAAAGCTACAATAAAAACATATCCACACAAACACAAAAGATTAAAAAAAATACTTTTGAGATGGGTTTACCTCCCCACTGACCACCACTTTTGCTTAAGTTCTCTAACCCTGCATAGTAAGATACTAAAAAGCAGTCTGAAAGCTTCGTCTGAACCAGGGTTGTCCAAACTTGTTGACTTTAAGACTTGTGAACTTTAACTCCCAGAATTCTCCACGCTGGCTAGAGAATTCTGGGAGTTGAAGTCCACAAGTCTTAAAGTCAATAAGGTTGGACACCCCTATTCCAAACAGTTCTTGTGATGGTCTACTTGTGTGCCCAGAAATCACCCACAAGAGATAAGCTCTTTTGAAGGAGATAGCTCAGGAAAGTCCCATGTTGTCCCTTGACTACACAATGCAGTCCTCACCTCCTTGTCATCCCATATTCCAAACCTTCTTATGACCATCCATGAGCTTCCAGAAAACATTTTTTAATCCATCCCAGGGCTAAAGGCTATCAACCTACTTCCTTCCCTTCCCTTAAGCTCATCCATCCAAACCAGCTTTGATCCAACATTGCTGGAAGCCCATGGAAGATGCTGGTGTTTAAGAGGTAGGAAAGAGATGATATTGGTTGTTCCACCACCAATGAACATCTTCACAAGCTTCTTCACCCCACAGATACAGTGTCCTTTGATTGGCCAGACAGCAACTTACTGATCCAGTTACATGTCTCAACTCGCCTTTGATGGCAAGGAGTGTGAAAGTCAAACTCGGCTTCGCAACGGGCTGATACGAAACACTCGTAATTCCAACTCAGCCAATCTACACAGAAAGGTTCTTCGCTCGCTCTGAAAACCGCAAGAAGGACGACTCTGAATGTGTGAAACATCTTTCACTACTCTTCTTGCACTTATTTCTTTTAGTAAGACAAAGGCCTTGCTCATTTTCACAATTGCCTCCAGCTGCCAACGCGTCGTTATTTCCATACTGGCCTGTATCGTCTGACACAGAAAACCACAATTCTTGCAGCTGCAACCCAGCGTGGGGGAGCAGAAGGAAATTTTTGTGGTGTAGCAACCACACAATGACTTCAAAAGGGAGCAAGAATTGGACACATGCTAAGTAGCAGATCCATTGTTTCTTTTTTTTTTTCCCTTTTAACAAGAGCAAAGTTAGCCGTAGGATGAATCTTTTGATGCAAAGAAAATGCAGAATAATAAGAGTTGGAAGGGACCTTTGAGGTCTTCTAGTCCAATCTCCTGTTCAAGCACAAGACCACATACCATGCTGGACAAAATTTCATCCAATCTCTTCTTTAAAAGAGTGTTGGAGCATCCACAACTTCTGAAGGCAAATCCTTCCACTGGTTAATTCTTCTCACTGTCAGGGAATTCCTCCTTAGTTCTAAGTTGTTTCTCTCCTTGATGAGTTTCCATCCGTTACTCCTTGTCCTGCCCTCAGGTGCTTTGGAGAATATGTTAACGTTCTCTTCTGTGTAACAACTCCTCAAATATTGGAACATGACTATCCTGTCTCCCCGATCCTTTTTTTTTCATTAGACTAGCCATACCCAGTTCCTGCAACTGTTCTTCGTATATTTTAGCCTCCAGGCCTCTAATCATCTTGGTTGCTCTTCTCTGCACTCTTTCCAGAATTTCTACAGCTTTTTTATAATGTGATGACCAAAACCAAACATGAAATTGTGATCCTCCTCCTCCTCTTTTACCAACCCCATAATCCCTTGCGGGGTGGAATCTAGGCAACTGAATGGAGCTAGCAGGAGTGTTTACTGGCCAGATGCCCTTCTTGTCACCAGAGCAGAGTTTTGTTCAGCAGATATATTCTCGTTGTACCCAGAGAGAGAAATAGCTGCCTCTACCTAGGATCGAACTCACAGCCTCCTGATTGTGAGGCAAGAGCTCCAGATGGTCATGGGGTCAAAAACAGCCTACTGGAAGATACCCCCACAAGCAACAAAGAATAAGATGCAGTCAACTTACGGGGAGCTCCTTCAGCCATTTCGATCGCAGTGATGCCCAAGGACCACAAGTCACTCTGGAAAGCAAAAGGTTTTGATGAATGAAAAACAAGAGTCAAATAGGTTTGTTTTGGGCTTTGGGTATCATGTGGAGCTAGAGAACCAGATTAAGGAAGCCAAAATTTAGTTCAGTGTATCTCAACCTAGTTCAGTGTCTCTCAACCTTGGCAACTTGAAAATGTGTGGACTTCAACTCCCAGCATATGGGAGTTGGCTGGGGAATTCTGGAAGCTGAAGTCCAAATATCTTCAAGTCATCAAGTTTAAAAAACCCTGGTTTAATTAATCATAGATATTCATAGCAGGTGAACAGTCAATCTGTATCAGGCAACAACTACCCCAGCAAAAGTTTGATCTACTTGCTCAAACCACAACATTGCCTAGCTAATAATCAATGTGGCCAATATGGAGGAACATCTTAGTTAGCCAGGAGTCATTCCTCTGTCATCCGAAGCAGCAGCGAGCAGCAAATCAAGGAGCATTAATAAAGAAAACCTTTGCCTGGGTATTTATTTTCCTAATCCTATATTACACAGGAAAAGCCCTAATTTGGGTGACCTGGAACAAATGTAATTTGTAATGTTGGATTTCCCAATTACCAGAGAGAGCCCCCTTGCGGAGTACCGTGAATCCGTTACCATGGCAACTCCACAGTGCTGTGCAGTAGAAGCCATTTTAAGGCAGTACGGTAGAAGCCATTTGAAGGCACAACAGGCTGTATCTTAAGAACACAAACCCTGAAAGGTGTTAGGGATGCCTTACCCCCAAAGTGTTTGTTTCCAGAGGGTAAACTGTGTAGCAAGTGTGTGTGTGTGTGTGTGTGTGTGTATAGATAGATAAATAGATAGATAGATAATAAGATAAAGAAGGAGGAGGAGGAGGAGGAGGAGGAGGAGGAGGAGGAGGAGGAGGAGAAGAAGAAGAAGAAGAAGAAGAAGAAGAAGAAGAAGAAGAAGAAG